TTGTTTTCGTCATTTGTTAGATTTACTCTATTGCATTAAAGCGTGCTGCGAGTAAAGAAAAACAAACGATTCCGGAATTAAAAAAAAAGAAGAAAAAACCCAAAGAATTTCATGATTGAAAACGAAAATGTGGTGCATGTGTGCGTTTGCTATGTGACTTTAGGTTAAAGGATAATCAGAGTAAATAACGGTGTTGAACAATTTTACACAAACGCAACAATGGCAGGGCAGACGATTGGGTGGGTGGGCGAGCGGGCGAGTAAACAATTCGTATGATAAGACTAATGCAAAGGTTAGACAGAGGATTTGGTTTGGGCTTTGTGCTACTCGTTTTTAGGTGTGACTGCATGTGTGTATGTTTGTGTGAGCATACTCGTATGTAAATATAAATATATTTGCATATGTACATAAATATGTATGTATGAATAAATATGTACATTAGAGTGGTCCAAACGAATTTTTTTCGAGATAGAGTTTGGGGCACCTTCTAAATTTTTTCTTCTTGCCGAAAAAGGTGCTGGTATCAAAAAATACCGTTATAATTATAAATTTAGGGCATGCTTCATGAGCTCATATTTTACTGTAGAAATATTGTGTAAAAATATTAATCAAACAATTGGTTAAGCAACCTAAGAACATTTCAAATTCAAATTATCTAAAAACATATCAAAAGTTTCAGTTGTCATAGCAACAGTAGGTTTTTATAAAAATCACCCATATTTTTGCCAGTTTCATAGAGACTCAGTAGCGCATTTCAAGCTGATTGAGCACCATCTATTGGCTACCGTAGAAAATTTAAAGCTGGTGCTGATATTACAAATATCAAAAGAAAAAAAATAAGGGGGTGCCCCGTTTTCTAGAAGGAAATTTTTTTTCCTATACAAAAATTGGACCACTCTAATGTACATACATATGTACATAAATATAAATAACTCGTATGAGTAAAAGTATGTTTTCAACGCCACGCTAAAAAATTCAGTGCTTGCATGCGCGCACATCTGTTAAATAAGGCAAACAGTTGCTCGGTCGCCCAAATGTATGCCATGTAGCGTTTTGGCGTTGCCAGACTGTATCAGTTTTATGCAATACAACAAACTTGCATAATTTACTGCGTCATACCTGCTGTCCTTTGGCTTTGCGCGACGACCTACGTACATACATACATACATACATACTTACATACCAAAGCCACTTTATGTTTATTTGACACACTAAAGGTGTTATTGTAAACGAAATCTAGCTTTCGGCTAAGCGTTTACCAAAGCAAAGAGTGCGAGGCGAAGGAGAAGAGAGAGAGAGAGAGAGAGTAGCTGAGTGTCCGGTTGGAGATTATGCCTGCATTCAGTGAGCTATAAGTTGTAAGAGTAAATACCGAATTCCTTTTGAAAATATAATTCCTTTTATATTTGCCGAAATTTCTCTTCTCTGCACAAGGAGCCTCTCTTTTTGCACCTGCTCAGACAATTACGGCACGCCACTTCCTCAGCTGTACTGCCTCAAGTTGTTTTGAGCTATGGCGGCTCGCTATGGTTGACGATGACGGTGACGACCTCGCCAAGTATATTGTTCTAGTGCGCGCTGCTGAGTGTACATGCAATGGGATACGGGAAAATTGCTGCACGCAAAAGTATGCTACAATTTTTGCTAAATACTGAGTGTTTGATATTTGTGTACCAGCAGAAAATGTAGACATTTTCCACCTTAGTGCGGGTGTGTGAAATAAATGCAAATTTAGGGTGCAAGTGCTGGAAATTCAGGTGACCTAAAGTGAAAGGATACATTTTTTTTTTTGGAAGCGAAAAAGTGCAAAGTGGCTTTCGAGCAATTTTATTTTTTGAGAAGGTGATAAATGGTATACCGAAAAAAGTTTCGTTTAATGCACAGGACGCGCCCTGCTAAAAGGTTTTCTGTGAAATTTTTGGTTTTGTGAATAATATTTCAAATATAATACGGAGTGGTTTGGTTTAATTGGAGACGAAAGAAATACAAAAAAAAAAATAAAAGAATTGGCTTTTTGGCTTGTGTAAGATAAGAAGAAATGCTATTGGCTTGAAACCTGAATTCCGTAAAATTGGAAAAAAACATACGAACATTTTGTTGATGTTAGAAATTATTTAAAAATTGTGAAAAAATTGTGTGTCGAAAACAAAATTATATGGAAGATTAGAAAATTCCAATTTCGAAACATGCCTTCCAAAAGTCTGAAAAATAATACGGAATAATAAGTTTAATGCTCCTTAAGCTAAAAATGTTCAAAGTATCTGGTAAACAATTTTGATTGGTTTTAGTACATTCGAGAGCTTGGAAGAAAAACTTAGTAAATGATAACAAAAAGTATAAAAGTAAAACACGGCATCCACGTTTCTTAGGCAACAAGGAAATTGAAAATTGTCTATACTATCTTTTTCTCTAATCTTCACCTTGTTGTTCAAGTAGTATAGAACTGGCAAACATTTTTTAGTTGAAATGTGAAGTAAATTAGTAGACCACTTTGAATTGAAAAAAATTTACTAATGGCGGTTTAAGACTATTTCTTACTTTCTTTTGTGGTTGACTTTCAGAATCTTTGCATGTCTTTAGATAAACGACTCACTGTGTTTCGACTATGGGGATGGAAAAATTTGTTAAGATGAAAATAGTAAAAAATTATCTCATTACCAACCGATTTTGATGAAATAAAATATGGGCCTATTAATTAAATGTTGCCCACTTTCCTTTCGCGGAAATAGAAAGCTTATATTTAGAAATTACATAGTTGTAAATATTCTAGATTCTCCCAATTTTTTGGGTGAAGAATTTTTTGTTAAGAAATCGAAAATAGATAAATTAAGAAAATAAAAAATTACAAATATTAATTGGCTAAGTCGGAACCGCATAGATAGATTTACGGAATATATTTACTTGAGCTAAGCCTATTTGAAAATTCCTACAAAAATTTGATTACTTTGATTCCGTTGAAACATTTTTTAAACATGTTTATGCAGCCTTTGTAAGCTGAAACTCTTCTGTCGGCTGAGGTGAGTTTTTTAAAAAGAGTATTTAAAAAACCAATTTAATTAAAAAAAAGACAATTCTTTTGGGTATCCTCAGACCAGTATAATTCAAATAATCTTAATATTTTTTTTCGAAATATTTTGGTTATTGCTTTATAATATAACAAATGTTATAATTCCGA